TTTAATGGATAGTATGGCTTTCACATCCCAGTCATCCACACAAACAAACTCAAAAGGACTGATACTAACATTTACACGTGCACTGTAGTTGTCAAGACATGTATTAGCTAAAAAACTGGGTGAACCAACAAAGTTCCCATTTAATTCGTTTAAATTTAGACGAGATAAACTTTGATTTAATTTTCCCATCCCAATTGATTGAATTCATTGCTGAGCTGAACAGCCCAGCTTTTTTAAATCGGCTTTATGCTGCAGGGGTTCTGTTCCGCTTCCACCTCACGTAGGTTTGATTGCGAGTAGCAATAAGGTCTTTTAATTTAGAATTGATCCAAGGCCTGCTGTTTTATTTTGCTTTTTTGCGTCTGAGTGGAACGAAGTCATCAAAGAGCCTATTTATATGTTCTTGAAGAAATTTTGTTTGTCGTCAATAGTTACCAGCGTTCGAATCAGATTCCATTCCACTCACTCCACCGCATCAGTGACAGGAGTATAGTTGATGTTCTTGAAGTCTCGGTATGTGAAGCATATTTGTATTCTGATTGTTCGAAAATCAAAAATCAAGAAAATCAAGTCGTGTTTCGAAAAGTTAGATGCAGACAGTTGGCTACAGAGGAGGGATTAAGGTCATTCACAAAAAATAGATCAAGCAAAGTGCTGTTGGTGTTAGTAAAATGTGTTGAGTCCTAGAGACTCCATACTAACTTTTAAGCTGCAATCGACAAACAGGCTGCTGTTGAAATCACCCGCTACCACAGCGTTGTTGTAGTTGTCGAGTAACCGTTGAAGAAATTCTGTGAAATTGGAGAAGTTAATATGATAGTCCGGAAGCCAGCGACAGTTTCGGGCAGTGATGCCAGATATTCTCTGTTAAAAATCCCACGAAAATGGGGAAAAAATTCCTCAATTACCCACATCTTAAAAATTTATCCCACAAAATTCCCAACGAATTTAAATATACACATGTTTCAGTAGTAAAGAAGTAAAATTCATATAAAATAATAATAATAGATTGGCGCTTACACATATTATGTGCTTCTCCTCCAATTTGTGGCGTGCCCCTTGATGTTGTCACACAAATGGGAGGGACCTACAGTTTTACGCCGACTCCGAATGGCGAGTGTATTTTTATGAGAAGCTGTTTTTCATGGCAGGAATACACTCGGAGGTTTGCCATTGCCTGCCGCGGGCCGACCGCTGTTAAGAAAAAACACCTTTTCCTGCATTTTTTTCACTCATTCATTTTTTCACTTTCATTTTTTGCTCACTCACTAAGGGCATAAAAGAATTTTTTGGTGACTTAAAAATTGAAGCACATTCATGTGCAATTTGACATTTCATCAGATAATTTGTTCCGCTTTTTACATGAAACACCAGTTACAAATGAAAAGGGTCTTTCTTACTCAGCACTTGAATTGGTTAACGTAAGAAAATTTTCGAAATTGTCCTTATACTTTTTAACAATTATATACCATTTCATTCCACATCACATCTTCAGAAAGATTAATTACGTAAGAATGTCGAATATTCTTAAATTTGGATCAATTATGCAACAATAACTGCATCAAAAGAAAATCCCTTATTTATTTGAAATGTCTCTTTTTTCCCTTTTAATAATTTTTGTTGCAAAATATCCCTCAAATAGGGAAATTACCAACAATCTGGCATCACTGGTTTCGAGTTAGTCATTTCACAAAAGCTGAAAATTTTACATACGCTTTGTTTTGCTTACGCCCATGCGAGGGGTATGGCTTTGGCACTCTCCCACACATGTAATAAAATGATACAGAAAAACTAATACAATAAAAGCTGAAACTTTTTCGACGTGTTTATGATGTTAAAAAATACCCAAAGAACATAATCAGCTGCCCTTAGTGCGGGAGAGTATGCGTCAGCTCTCCACATAAATATTCCGCTTCATATAAAGCGAGGGAAAAGTGCTGAGCTGACGAGCTAAAGGCTCGTTAACCGCGTGGGGGCCTCATATCTTTGCCGGCATCAGCTGAGTACTTTTCCCTCGTTTTATACGAAGCGGAGTATTTTTTTCAGTTAAGTTATGAACTTACCTGTTGAATTGTAAAATTACAGCTTTTGCAGTATTAGATATATATTGTTTTTTTTTTGTCCTTAAACGCAGCACGTTATCGGATCGGTAATTAGAATTGATCTCCGAAATATATAGCGATTCAAAAAGCTGTGTTCTCCATAATATACACAATTTCAACTCTACTTGTGAGTATGTGTACTTGATGCGTTTAGCGCTTTTTAATTTTTTATGAAAAGTGCAATTTGTAAAAAAAAATTAAAAGCGGCAGACCGAAAGAACACCACCCATTGCATCGAATAGATATATAATTATTTTCAAATGCCAGTAAAAATACGAATTAGGACAAACAAATTTTGGATTTTTCACAAGTGCATGAAATATGCAATTTTGATGATATCGACAAATAAAAAAATGCGATGCGCTTATTTCCCAAGTAGAATAATGTACTAAAATTTCAAGTGAGTTGGAGAGATATAACAAGTGCAATTTATAAAAACTGGCACTGATTTATTAATTTTCTTTGCAAAAGTTAAAAATTTGAATGAAAATTTTTTGAATTTTTCAAAACTCTAAAAAGCTTGAAAGTTTGATTTATGTATATGCATATATTTAACAAAAATCGCGATGTACTAATTTTTTCTAACCACTTAATGTATGTATGTATTAGAGCGGGTCGATTTGTAGGGACCAAAAAAACGGAAAAATCGCATATGCGGAAAATGCTCTACGCATCATTCTGAACACCTTTGATTAAGAAACCATGGGTCTTAAACCAATTTCGAGCCAGCGAATTTTAAGGGGAAGTTTTATATCAGATAATACAAAATTTTTTGGCAAAAACTTAAACAAAAGCTGATCTATGAGTGTAAGGGCACAAAAAGCAGTTTATTTTTTTTTTGAAAATAATTAAAAGACTAACACCCAAATTCATAAAAAATAAAGAACACTTTAACTGCTTTATAAATACAAAATTTGTATGTCACTTTATAGAGCTCTCTAAACTTTTTTTATTTTTTGTGAATATGGCCATAAGTTTTTAAGTCCTGCTTGCTTTTCAAGAGTGGTATATTTATACCCTGTCTGTCCATTCGTCTGTCCGTCTGAGATATCTTAACGAAAGTAGGTATATGTACTTCTTTGCAGCGTAGGAGGATGGCATTGAAAATGGGCAAAATCGGACAATAACCACGCCTACGTCCCATACAACGGTAATTTTCAGAAATACGAAAACTGTGGAATTTTAGTTACTACTGACGCTTATTAGCTCAAAATTGATATTTACAATGATTTGTAGACGAAAAGTAAAAATATTATAAATATTTGGAAAATGGGCGTAACCGCTGCTTTACCAATTTCTTCCAAACACAGTTGTTGGCTTTGGTACAACATACCAAACGGCTGAAAATTTTTAAAATCGGACAATAACCACGCCCACATCCCATAGAACGGTAATTTAGAGAAATACAAAACCTTCGATAAATCAGTAAATACTGAATCTAATTTATTCAAAATTTATTCTTTAGAAATGTAAAATGAATTTCGACTGCTCCAATTATTTCAGTATGGTAGATTTGGATGATGACAATATTTTAACAGAACCGCCAATTACTAGAAACATCCCGTATAACCATTTGAAGGAATGTTTAGAATTTGAAGACCCACCAGTTCCTGACCCACAAGTGCTATGCCACATACAAGGAACTGAACGATACGTTCAAAAGTTAAAGTTTTATGACTGTGAATGATTTTAGTCGAAAAAAATATCACGCTTGGAAAGAAAGCAGGACCCAAAAACTTAGTTATTTAAGTATTTTCAAAAACTCCTTTTTGTACCCTTACACTCATAAGTCAGCTATTTGTTTAAGTTTTTCCCAACCTTTTGTGGCGCCATCGGGGGCCCCACAAGGTAACATTCTAGGGCCTTTATTCATTTTATTATTTATGACTGACATTGGGTCCTGTTTTTCTTCTTCAAAATTTATTTTATATGCAGACGACCCACAAGGTAGCATTCTAGGGCCTTTATTCTTTTTATTATTTCTTCTTCAAAATATATTTTATATGCAGACGACCTTAATGCCCAAGAGCTGGCGTCGAAAATATGCAAGAGTTTTCTCAATATTTTCAGAATGGGTTGCATTTTAGTGATGGAACGTTAGTGCGGAGTTAGCACTTTCAGCACCGGGACACCTGGCGTCGGGACGCGCGCGAAAATAATAATAAAAAATACAAAGTTAATAAAGGATACAGTCAGACTCATTTGTGATAGGACCACGTGAGTCAGCAGTCGATAGAAGTGAGAATGGTAACTGCTGGTAGTTAATTTTTACAAGAGGTTAGCACAGTAAAATTATAGTTTTTCTAAAAAAAAAAAATGTAGTACCGAACTTATAATGCAGTTCGAACCGACGATCAACCTGACTCAGCCAGTTGCCTACGCACTGTGCTAAGTTCGCCTTATTAATTCTTGTTGCTTATTTCCACTATTTTCACTTGCTAAGCCAACTACAATCAAGCGCAGCTATTCCGCTGCAATTCACTTGATCATGTGGTTGTTGGTTTTGNAGCTCATAAAAATTGTTGAATATAATTGTTATAAGGCCATAAAATAACAAACAAACAAATAACTTAAGGACGAGCACACCTAAAAGTTAAAAACATTCTAATAATAGAAATATCAACAATACCAACAACCACATGATCAAGTGAATTGCAGCGGAACAGCTGCTCTTGATTGTAGTTGGCTTAGCAAAGTGAAATAGTGGAAATAAGCAACAAGAATTAACAAGGCAAACTTAGCACAGTGCGTAGACAACTGGCTGAGTCAGTGGGCTTTTAGGTGTGCTCGTGTGCTGAAAGAAGTCTGATGAGGAAATGTGGTAATTTCCGAAATAGCTATCACTTCTACCATTTTTTCAAATTATTGTTGCTTTTCCACAATAAGGATTTCCTCTGACCAGTACTCACGTTCTTGTTAGCTTTTACCGCCTGACCAGTCGGTGTCTGCATAGAATGCTCAACGTTCTCGAGTGCTCTGCAGCGCTTCTCCAAGAACATAGCTAATTGATCCCAGGATGGCAGTTCGCTGATCGATGAACTCTCCTCCCATTTAGCCTGCGTCTTTTTGTCGAATTTCTGGATCACCAATTGTACGATGATGCGACTGCAATGCGCGTATGTGTGCTGTGACCTTATCTGTCAGCTCTCGTAGCTTGGTTACGTTTGAATCTGCCCTCTCTAGCCCAAATATCTCCCTGACGTGTGCCTGAAATATAAAACGTTTGTTATGAAGCGCTTTTGTAAAAGATCTAATGCAGTGTTATAATTAGCGTCGTTTATTTCCAGCGAGCGCACGGTGTCAAGGGCAGCGCCGCTCAGACAGGAACGAAGATGCTGCAATTTGTCGATGTTGGTGAGGTCGCTGTCCTTGTCGATTATTGACGTGAACATTGAATAGAAATTTGTCCACTCGGTGTAGGCGCCACTGAATTTAGGCAGTGTCAGCAATGGCAAGCGTGAGCTATTACCGTTCACAATGATTGATTGGGTCTCACTGGAGTTCATTCTGAGCGTGGAGCAATGTTGCGAGGCACTACGTTTACCAATCTCGCGTTGCAGTGTAGCTCTAAGGTTGATTAGAGCAGCATCGAAGTTACTTGGCAGGTCGCTGGCAATGGAGTCGAAGTCCAATTCCTCTAGGCTTGTGTGTGCGGCAGAAAAACTGGATTTCAATTCGCCTAAGGATTCTAGCATTGCTGAAAGACTGTACTCATCCATACTGTGTAGCTTGTCTGCGTCCAACTCGTTAATCAAGCTCTCCAGTCTGCTGAATATGGCCTTTGTTTTCAGCTTTAGAAAGGCTACTCGATCTGCACCTTCCCCTGGCATGACGAAGTTGCTGACGTTTACACTAGTGTGGCAGAATTATCTCAGTAAGCGGCCGGAAACAAACGAAAAATCGCGTGATACGATCACGTCGGGGTCACCAAATGTTGAGCTACTAAGCCTTTTTAGCAGCTTTAAAATAAAACAAATGATGTATGCATAAGTTAAGCAACTGTATTTAACAAGATTTGGTCCGCGACTAACTAACAGAAAGTTCACCTTGAACTATTTAAGTATGTCCTAATTACATTGGATAACTGCAAATTCATCACCAACAATATAAAACCAGTTTTCTTAAATGCATGAGAATTTACATATATATATTTATGCACGTATGCACCCGCGCACACA